AATGATCTCTCTATCAATTGAATAGAGCGTCTCTCCCAGTTCCCATTGTTTAGCAGCGCCATCATCACAGACCTTTCTTCTCCAGTCTTCTCTCCCAGTTGTTAACCCTTCTCTCTTTCTCTTCTACAAAAAAAGGTAAAAATTTACTTCGAAAAATTAACTAAACGGGTTCAGCTGATAAATTTTGTTTTTTCACAGAAAAAAAAAGGAAACAAAAAAATTTGCTGTTGATTTTTCTTGCTTTGCATTTTCTAAATTCTTGCAAAATGAATCTTTTTTGGCCATTTTGTAGTTGTTCATAAAAATATTAGGAAGTGAGTTTTTTTTGGTGGAAATTTTTTTGTTTACAATAATTATTAGTTTATGTTTTAATCTCTTCCGCTTTTTCCTCATCTTTTACTTCCCCATTTTTTCCTGTCTTCTTTTTGTAACGTTTCATTTATTTTTAGTTTTTATTACTTTGGTTAAATAACAGTTAAAATTGTAGTTGGTCGATGACAGTATTTCAACAAGAGTTTTGTTTGAACAGTGCAGTTTCAATAATGTTTGCTGCTAGACATTTGTGGATGAATAAGTTGCGTCGAAAACAATATGACGATTATACAGTTGTCGTCTTTTTTTTTTTTTTTTTCATTGGTTAAATGGCACTGGAAATGCTTCAGCTGAACCGGAGCCTTTTGTTACTGAAGCCATCGCAGCGGCAGCAGCAATACTATCACCGCCAACGGAGTGCTTGGGAACCAAATGTAAAAAAAAAAAAAAAAAAAAGAATGAAGAACTAAGCTTTGAAGTAAGAAGAGCATTTGTTGATGGAAGGAGGAAACGGGCAACGGGGAAGGGGAATAATGTAATAGATAAAAAGGTGTAGGAAATAAGTAGAAATTCGAGTAATTAATTGTTGGAAATGGAAATTCTTTAAAGATTTATCGATTAATCATTGATGAACAAAACAAAATAGAAAAAAAAAAAGTAGGGAGAAAAAAGATTGTTTTTTTTTTATATTTCCCTTTGTTTGTCTGGAGGCCAAAGGAGAATGCGGATCACGTTTCTATGTCTAAACCTGGTAAGAAATAAAAAGAAACGAAGTTGTTATGTCAAGCTAAGCAAGCATTTACGTTTTTTTGCTTTGTTTTGGAACGCCAAGCAGGCTGTAATGGGTAGGTATACCTATTCAGTACTTGTCTACTAGGAGAGAGCATTTGGGAGGAGAAGGACGAATTGCAGAGAAGGGTGGAGAGAAGGAGAGAAGGGCTAGAAAGAAAGATGAATACTGTATTTATATATTTGCTGGGGCACAAACAAGAGGAAGCAGTTTGATTTACGTAATATTTTTAGCTGTTTCACTAATGACATTTTCAATGATTTTTAGACACTAAGAATTTCACTCTATTCTTGATGCTTTTCGTAGTAATTAAGTATTTGTGTATGTGTCTGTGTGTCTGCGTGTCTGTGTTTATATATGTGTATGTGTTTATGGCTGCTGTTAGAATTACTTGAACAGTCACTGCTTCACTGTAAGCCATAGTGTTGCTGTTGCTGCAATTACTGTTCTTACTACTACTGGTTTGGTAATTTTAGGCAGAAAAAAAAGAGAAATTTAAACTTTTCTTTTCTCTCATTATTGTTTGTTTGTTTATTTTGGAGGCAAATGGAAGATTGGAGAAGTATAGGTGTTTGGGTGTCTGTTTTTCTTTCTTTTGTACTTTTGCTTCAAATTCAATATTTTTGATGGTCAACTGAGACTGTTGTTAGGTGACAATAGCAGTAACAGCAACAGCACTTTTTATATGATTATAGTAATAGATGATAGTTTAGAATATTGATGATCATTACTATTGCTGTTATTGTTACTGTTGTTGTCGCTGCGGCTTATACTGCTGTTGCATTGATATTATTACTGTTGCATGGCTATGGTTTCTTTTGGGTGTTTTGTTGTTTACGACTAAAGAAGAAAAGATGTGAAAATTTTATTTTGTAGTTCAAATGCTTAAAGGTGTGGAAAATATAGATGCAGTTCAAACAAAAGTATCATTCTTCTTTTTCTTTCTTCTTTTTTTTTTTTGTCGGAGCAAAAAAGACCATTTTAGTATTCAGCTTTACCAAGTTAAGGATAATTAATTTTTGTTTACATATGTGTTTCTCTCAGCATCGGCGGTAGCGAGAGCACTTTTTAATGCGGTGCTGTGGTTCTTTACATGTTGCTACTGATGAGGATAACGACAGTGACGATGTTGATGATGATGCTTCTTTTTTTTTTTTTTTTTGATTTAGAAAAGTATGACCTAATAATGCTTTATATACATATTCTGAGCTCAAATCTTATTCTTTCCTTCTATTTCCTTCTGCTCTTTCACTCTTTTTCATTTTTAACTCTCAAACTTATTTTCTATAAATTCAGCGGAAATTTAGCTTTTTCAATCAACAAACAAATAACTTTTTTCACACGATTATTCAAACAAATAAAAGTTTTTTTATCTAATTTTTTATATAAATTTAAGGCGGATGGAGATGGGATGGGCAGGGGAGAGGAGGGAAAGGAAAAACAATAACTGTTCATACAAAATGCTAATTATTAACAGTTTAAATGTAATTTCTGCTTTTTTTTTTTTGTTGAAAACCAGCATTTATCTATTGTTGCTGGAAAAAATGACAATCCAACGCTGCTATGACTGCTTGACGAAAAAAAATTTTTTTTCAAACTTGTTCGCACTAACTTTATTCAATTTTGAAACCGTACAAATACATTTTTGTTTCCATATTTATGTTTTCTTTTTTTTTATTTGTTTGTTTGTTTTTCCCAATTATCTTTTTCTTTTTGCTAAAAAAGTGGCTATGAGTTTTTTAAAAATTTTTTGCCTATATATGTTAATATGTATATATAGGTGAAGAAATGGGCTTATAACAACTGCTGCTGGTTGCTGCAGATGAACGATGAAAGCTTAGTCAAGCGGTAGAAAAAAAAACTTTCTAAATTTCTTCTTCAGACCAAGAATTCAAAAAGAAACAAAAAACATTGTTCAAAGAGAAGGAAAGAAAGAGAGGAAAAGTGGTGAAAAAAGGAAAAGAAATAAGAACAGGTAAAAGCAACAGCAAATATACTAACAGATTTTTTATTGCATGTGCCAAGCAAAAAATTTTTGCACAACTATCGGGATGCATGTGTCGGTTTTGCTCGATTAGGTGACGACAATTACGACGATGGTGATGGAGGCTACAGTGTAAGATTGGTCGAGAGAGATGACAAAATATTTGTGAGTATTTGTATCTCCATAGATTTTCTATATTAGTGTATATAAAGAGGGGAAAAAGGACTGCCCAAAATGGACAGAAATGGATGAATGAACAAGGAAAAGCGATGGGAGAAAAAAAAAAACAGATGGGAACAAAGGAGTGACAAAGAGAAAAAAGGAATATATATTTACATAAATATATCACATATATAATACATACATTTAAAGGGGTGTATCGTTTTGAGAATGGTTGTCTTCAGTCAGTTGAATGGTCCATTTTTGGAAAACTAACAAACAATTTTATTTACGGATTATTAATGCAAATGAAAATGCGAAAAGAGTATTTCAATTTGTTTTCTGTATGGCAGTAAACTGATGGTCGACGATTTGTCTCTGCAGTTTCCTCCCCGTATATTCCGCCTCTACTGACGCACTGATGCTATATGTTGTTGTTGCATAAAGAAATAAAAAAAAAAAATCAAGGGTAAAGTAAGGCAAAAGTTTTCACCATTACACTTCTAACAGGTAAGTTTTGTTTTTTCTTTTTTGCTTTATTGCAGTAGCAGTATAAGTTGTTTTGACAACTTTTTGAAGGGAACAAGGGGAAGTTGTGTTTTGGTTGGATGCAAAGAAGGAAAAAAGAGGAAGTGGTGTTGAGGTGTTGGTAATAACCAAGCGTTTTACATCTTTTCTTCTTCTTCGTCTACATCTTAGTTGTTATGTTCTTTTTCTTTTTATTTTGTTCATTATATTTGTCTTCTTCCGATAAAAAGAACTTTAATCGTAGTTGCTGACAAGGCGTCTCTGATCTGCTGGGTAGATCGCGTGCCGTGTGTCTTTCATATCAGTTTTTCGTTTTTTCTTCATCCTATTTATTGTCGTTTTTAGAGATCTATTTAATGATTAATCAATTTTTCCACCTCAGTATTGTTAAATAAATAACTATAAACTGTTTTTTTTTTTCGACAATGTTTTCTAGATAATTTAAAACAATTTGCTTTTATTACTTAATAACATTATGCTAGATAATTTCATCTCAGATTTTTCAAAATAATAGTAGTGTTGATCATAGATTTGACAGTTTTACCAAAAATCAGAAAAGGCAAAAGATAGAAAAAATTGTATTCTTATTTAAACAGTAGTAATCCTTCTGTACTCCAGCGGTTAAGCACTGAATTATAGTATTGGTTTTTTAATAAACTTTTTATCTGAAAAAATATATTTGTCGTTTGCCAGTTAGTGTTTACGTTACCAGTCATGCTGCTTAAAAGGCTACTCTTAGCAGTTTCAGCTTTAGCTTTTTGAGAGATAGTTCTTTTTATTTTTCTAGCTGCCTACTGTCCCAATACAACGTTGAACGTTTCTCTAAATTTGATCAGAACGCATAAATATTTGGTCTTATCAACAAAACTGTTATTACAAGTAAAAAGCTGTTGACATCTTCTCTGGATCTTCATCACAAGAAGTGATTGACGATAATACGGTGAAAATTGGAATGTATCGGCAGTATCTTTTCTTTTTCTCTTGTTGGTGAGTCAAGCGTTGCATGGCGATACGGTTTGGTGTTGGTGCTGAGAGCAGACATTATTCAGGGGTCTGTTGGGGTGCTGGGTACAGTTTTTTTTGGCGACAGCAAAGAAGGAGTTGACAAATTCGAAAGCGGCTGGGCCTGTAGCTTTGGTAAATCAAGAATTAAGCAAAAGATATTGCATTGCTTTTTTTCCCTGCCCTTGTTCAAACAATTAAAAAATGATGTTGGTGCGTGTCTGTATGTCCACCAAATCTGTGTACCTGTGTGTATTCGGCATGTCTGTTTACGTGTGTGTGTGTGTCCGTGTTTGTCCGTGTGGTTGTGTGCATTACGTATGTATGTATGTATCTGTGCTAATATGCATGTTTATGTATGTGACTGTCTGTCTGTATGTTTTCTTTACCTAGTGAACTTATTGCTTCTACTCAAATATCCATCTGTCTATCTATCTGTCTATCTATTTATTCGTTTATCTGTTTGCCTATCTATCTATCTATCTATCTACATGTCCGTTTATTTGTTTGTTTGTTTATACTATCTGCCTATCTATCTCTTTATTTTCTAAGTTTTTCGGTAGTGTATCTCTAATATTAAAGGGAAAAAACTTTCTTATCTTGCTTGTAGCCAGGTTTGACTAAATTTCCGTTTTTTTACACATTATTATCACTTTTTGTCTCTTGTTTTTTTTTCTTTACTTTCTTCCAGCCTTTATTTTTGTTTATTCTTTCTTTATTTTCCTAATTTTTGAATGTTTTTTTTTTTAAGATTTGTCCAGTATGTGTTTGTTCCAAGAAAGTTTCCGCTTTATTACTGGGAGAGAAAGGGAGGAGAGTTTGATGCAGAGTATAAAAAAATGAACAGAAAGTAGTTATACAGCGAAAAGAGTCAAACTGGAGAGAGGGAAACAAGGGACCGAGGTGGGCTTAGAGTGGCAATAACGGTGTCTGCAGCTGACAATAATAGTATTGACGACAACGATGATGGCGTCTGCAGCGACTGCCGCTGCAACTGCAAAATAGCATTATCGACAACGGTGATGGTTACGGTGATGATGAAGATGACAATTATGATGATGATAATTACGATGATGATTACAATGACAGTGATAGTGAAAATGATGGTGTGGATGGTGTTGTTGGTGACGGTAGTGCTGATGATGGTTGTTGTACCTAAACACGGCCAACGAGCAGCGATCCTTTGAGTGATGATCTAGATTATTATAGTTCTAAAAAAACCAGTTTTCAACGGTCTTCAAACTTTCAGCCTGACAACTTGCGATTCGCGTGTTTCAGGATCGCTTGTTTTTCTCAAAAGTCTTTTGACGTCGATTTGACGAACAGAGAACTTATCATTATTGTTGTTACTATTATCATTACTGTTACTTTTACTATTACCATTATTATTACTATTACTATTACTGTCACTATTACTACCACTGTCACTATCACTATTACTGTTATTACTATTACTACTACTATTGCTATCACCATTAGTGTTACTGTTACTGTTATCATTACTATTACTGTTACCATTTACCACTAGTAATATTCATATTCATATTACTATTACTATTACAATTATTGTTATCATTATTATTACTATTATTTTTATTGTTGTTGCTGTTATTATTATTATTTTTACTATTATTATCATTATCATTATTTTCATAATGATAGTTATTACTGTTATCACTAGTGTTGGTAATATTATTAAAATCACTGTCATTACAATCACCATCAAACACTGTCATAAATATCACCATCGTCATCGTCATCGCCACACTCGTAGGTCTTTCTTGCGTAGAAATGTTTTCCAGCATGTACTTTTTTTTTTATTCTCATGGATAAGACACTAGAACCCAAGCTGAAATGTACACAAAAGAGGATTTTGTCATCTCTGAAGCTCAGGTTAATGATAAATGCCAAATTTTTTTTCATTTAATATAAATACTATACAGACATTACAAAAATGATTAGTAAAACTTATGGGACAAATGCAGCATTGTTGCTTGTTGCCTGTCTATTTATAGGTATCATTAAGAGTTCAAATTGATTTTTGTAACGGTTGCTCATTAGTTGCTCATTTTTCTTTTTTATCACTTCATCACTGTTGCTCCCTTCTTTTTTTAATTTGAACAAAGCTGCCTCTTTTTCTGGTACAGCTTCTCTCTTTTATCCTACTCGTTCACTGTTCTTCAGTATGTTCATTATTTGTCCCCCTGTGATTCGCCTGTCTATTTAGCCATTTACCGACATATCAATTTGTCTTGATGTGTAGTTAATATTTTCTGTGTCACCAGTGCAACAGTGTCTGAACTTCCAGCTAAGTTTAAAAAAGCAACATTGTTTTTCAAATGATTTTTTTCAATGGACAGAAAGTTTTGTTAGTGGTTGACGATCCTTTTTGCTTCTGCCCACTCCTCTTCTACTGCGCCCACTACCTAGTCTTTTGAAAGAAGGGAGCAAAAAGCAGAAAATGTAGGAGAGAAAAAACTTTTCATGGAATTGATTAATTGAGCAATATGTGAAGGTTCTTCGGTTGTTAGTTTGATTGGACTGTCGCTCATTTTACAGTCTCTATGAAAACGGCGTGTTTCTTATCATCATCGTCGTCATCGTCTCTGTTGTTGTCGTCGCTGCTGTCGTCGTCATCATCGTCCTCTAAGTACCCTCTGTGTTGCAACTACCAACAGCAAACTTGATTGGGAAGCTGTTGCCAACTCTTCTAACATGTTTCTAAGGGAACCTAACTTCTGTAGTTTCCTACTGTAGGCAGTTGTAGTTGCCAACGCCTACAGTGCCAACCTAATTTAAGAAACGTTAAATGTACGAATGTTGGTTTCATGATGTTTACACTGAAATTTATATAACTTTTTATTGCTCAAACCCTTGGAGTATATTACAACCCGAGGAATATTTGAGATATTTAGACTGACAATAATAGTAGTAAGACGTTTCTGGCTCAGGTCACGCATCTTGCTCTATGAAGTACAGAGTAAAGAGTTATAACTAATGAACAGTGAGTTATAAAGAATCAGTTAACAAAGAAATCAAAATAATAAACTTGAAACTGAGAAATAAACATTTGCCAATGGGCACGATATGGAAGATAGCACAATTCGACCGTTCCGAAGCTCAGTTCGGTAAGAAATTCTCAATTATTAAAGGTTACCTTCGCTTAAATACTCCTCAAGATAGTAGTGACTGACCGTCTACCCTCCGAAAGCTTCCCTTCAGGGATAGTTCAGAGGCCACTACAGTGCTTGGGATGGCCTTTTGCGTGTTGTCGCGACGCTCCTAAGCGGGGCGAACAGACAATGCTCAGGCAAAGTGAACGGAGACGGGTATAAGCGAAGGTGGATGAGATCTAAGATGAGATTAGAATAACAAACTAACAAGAAAACATGAAAATTAACAATGAAAAGAAAGGAGAAAATAAATACGAAGTTTTCACTTAGATCACCTAAGTCGTCTAGGCGTCTAATCTTTTTTTACTTGAAATTGTGCCCAGCTTTGTGTCTTCTCACATTTTCGGGACGACAGCATATACTTTTTGTGTTTGCCCCTCGAAAGTTCCTTGTATAAAGAAATCTTAAATTAAAATGAAAAATTGAAACAAATGAAAATAAACATAAAAAACTAAGAAGAGAAATAAAAGAAACATGAAAAGAAAAACAGAAAACAAACGACAAAGAAAAAATTAAAGATAAACAGTAAAAGAGCGACAAAAAAATAATGTGAGAAAAACTAAAAGAAAAAGAAAAACAGACAATAAAAGAAAAACTAAGAACGAATAATAAGAGAAGAACTGAAAACAAATCATAAAAGTTTTAAGTAATAAAACATAAAACTATGTAAAAATTGTTAAAGGAATTACAAAAACTCACTAGACCCCTGTCAACCTACCCCGACTTAACAAAGTCTAAAGTATGAACAGTCCTCGGCAACCTGCCCCTCGCATTCACCCAGCTATTGGTAGAATACCTCTAGGTCACCACGGCACCGCGGAAACCGCTTTAGGTAGTTGTTCCAGATGTCTGATTGAGCTAGCAGCTCTTCATCACCGATGATCACTACTCCGTCTCTCGCCCTGACAACGCGAGCGTGGTCCTGAGTGGACTTAAAATAAAATTTATGTTCTGGCGCTCTCTTTCCCTCCTTACTCGGGTGGTTACGATAATCGAGAAGTCGCACTCTTGGTTTGGAATCCGTTGATACTGAAGAACTGGCAATTCGGCTTCAATGCTGCTAGTCTCATTACTGAGGTAGAATAACAACATAGAATTGTTATATTTGCCTCCGGGAGTCTTTCCAATGTGAACCTTTTCATCTTCACAACGACTTCTTTGTGTAATTCGTTGGTCTAGCTCCTCTCCACCATTAGATATACACGCCCTGACCTGTGTAGCATCAGAATCCGTATATCTGCCGTTCTTACTGGGAATCCCAGCCTCCACATCATTTGATTCCGATCTCCTAGCGCCGGAACTAGCTGCTGGTTGTAGGCAGCTACTGTCAGGACCAACACGGGATGGCTTCTAAAATTACGGATCAGGCAGATTCGCTTGATCGTGGCGTTTTCCATCAGTTTGTCCTCCTTACCTTCATCATCGAGACATCGCTTTATCGGTTAGTGCTCTCGTATATGGCGGCAACTGTTGTTGATCACCCGTGATAAGCACTTGCTGAATATTGGGTAGGTTGGCGATGAGTTCGAGCAAGGAACATCTCTGGGATCGGATTTCCTTCATCCACAATGAAGTATCCAAGCTGCTCCATATCAAAAAACGCTTCCCACATCTGCAGGAAATCCTCATCATCGTTACCGTTCCGCACACCAGTTTCGGACAGCGTACCTCGATGGCTATCTTCAACGCTTCCTCATCATGACAGGCATTTCTGTCGTGGACGATTCGCTTAGCCAGGTAATTTATAACAAACTGCGTGGTTGCGCCTCTGACCTTCATTACCATATGGTCCTTTAACATTTCCGATACCCGGCATCTTTCCCAGCACTTGACCTCCTGTGGATGTGGTTCCAACTCGTTCATGATTGACTTTAGGAACTGTACGTCCCTCGCATCGAAACTGAACTCCCTGAGAACTTTCCCGGTAATTTCTTGTACGGCAAGGTTGGTAGACGCAGTCGCCCTCGTTCTTCTCTAAAAGTTTCAAAATATGAAGAGAAGTAACATAGGTCTTACCTGTGCCTGCGGGTGCTTCTACCACTAAGTGGTTCAGCGTCTCACCTTTCAGAAGACGTAACACCTGCACCTGTTCTTTAGTAAGTCGTCGGTTCATACCTGCTACTTCCATTTTCATTTCTCTTTCTGGCCTCATCTGTCACGCTTACTTCTCCATCGACTCTATCTCCATTTCTTCTCCCTCGCCCACCAGCCTCATCATCCTTTCCAGTGTGTCCGTCCTTCCTCCTTCTGTGACTTGAATCAGTCAGTGCTGCCGTAGTCCTAATTCCTGGAAAATCCCTTACCGCCGTCTCATAACCCGTGTTATCCGTGTCTGAATAAATCACCATGCCTTTCGTTTCACGGTAGTCCATCGGCTTTGGTGCCTTCTCGTCAGAGGTGCTTAAAACTTCTCAACATTGTTGAAATTCCTCTTCTTCTGAAGGTTAAGTTGCTGTTGCAAATGCCCTCTATCACCAAAACTTTCTGCCAGAATATCGATCGCTTTCTGATACATTTCGTCGTTTCTTAGCAAATACTCAATCGCCATTCTGGCTCTACCTTCCAATATCGAGACTAGATATTGGAACTTGTCTATCTTACGTAAACTGTTGTTGGTATGGATTGTGGAATAAAAATAATCTCGAAAAGTGTTCCATTTTACCAAGTTTTCTTCGACCTTTGGTGGTTGCACCTTTGGTAATTTTAACCTCATAAGAACCACTTTCCAGGTCCTCTCCTGAATTCCCTTCCTCTCAGAATCTGGTTCTACGTTTTAACCGAAATTCTTTTGGTCGTCATTTGTGCCTTTAAAAAAAATGTAAAAAATTTGTTCTTTCTATAAATTGGCGGTAGTTTTCATTTTCTTGTGTTAGCCTGTCTGACTTTAGATTAGCCAACATCGCACTCCACCTTTCATCTTTCTTTTCAATATTCCCAATCTGTATATTTATCATTTGTTTAAATTCTTCCAGCATCTTGAGTTTCT